GGGGAGAAATTCTTGATCAAACAGAAAAATAATTTTTTCCCAAAATATACCCAACAAACATGCATAAAAAATACATGCATCGCAATCTTGTATGAATTTTTCATCATTTTGATGCAGTACATACTGCTCTCCCTCATAAAAAGTGAAAGGTGGGGGAGGAATTGAATGCAACTTCGGTTTAGGTTAACCAATTTTTACATAATTGGTCTTATTGGAAAGACCTCTCTTTGTGTAATCATATTTTACATGAATTGTCTTTTTAGTAAATGTGATGAGTGGTAGAAGCCGTTTTTTAAGCAGAGATATAGTGAAAATACGAACATTCATGAATTTAAATTGCAATATTTATATTCATCCAAGTTGGCTTTGAAACATAAGAACACGTAACAAGAGATAATTAAAATAATAATTAAAATTAACACTCGATACAAGTTTTTAAATTATGGACAACAAGTAAATTATTAAAATATAAATTAAATAATAAAAGTTCAAAAAACTAAAAATTAGATTTGAAATATTCAATGTGTCTGGCACTATTTTCCATACAAAGACGTATCTCTGCCGAGTACTTTTTTTGCCGTGTGTTTCTTTTGTTTCAAAGCCAACTTGGACGAATACTACAATTTAAATTTGTGAATGTGCGTATTCTCGTCATATCTCTGTTCATGAGACAGATATCAAAATGCGATTTTCACTGATATCTTCACCTTTGCATCTTATTTGATAATATCATATAATAATGATATCGTTCCATTCGAAAGTTGGAAATCATTTTTTCAGAGCTTTCCAACGACGTATCACACATGGGGGGTCGCTATTTAAGATTTAAAAGTTGTGGTGGCTGGGGCGCAGGGGGTTGGAGGGGGTGCGTCGCCAACTATGTGATTGTGATTCCCCCTCCGAATTACCGAAACGGATTTTGATTTTTTTAAATATCTCGTTTGTTTACTAAGACATGGGGGATGGTAAGTTTTCAAATTGAATACGAAGATACGAAGATTTGTGTACTGTGAAAATCATACTTAAAAACTTTCCATTGCTACGGAGAATACTTACAAGACTTCCAAAGCCTTCTAGCGTTCTCCAGTCTGTTTTTCATGTTCTTAATAGAGCTTTAAAAAGCATTCTAATATCCTTTTCAAACGATCCTAAACAGGTTCGTTGCGAGTTCTGTTTAAATGATAGCGGTCGTGATGGAAAGACTTCTAGTTCTCCTTCTATTGCACTAGAAAAGCTGTACAGTTCTATGCAAAACATTCTGGAAAGAATGTCGAAAGCCTCCTATCCTCAAAGTCCTTCGTTCACAGAAATTCAGACTAATATAGCCTAGAAAGATTCGTTTCGAATCCTTCTTAAATTAAATCATTAATTCTAATTACGAATTCTTTTGTGTAGGAGTACCCGCCGCGTTGAGTTTGAATCCAGGATTCAAATCCCCGTTTATCCCCTCAACTTCTCAGATATCGTCTAGACATTATGGTCTTCTAAAGCATTTTTCAGAGCTTTTTAATAGGCAATAGCCATAGGCCATAGGAAGTTTTCCAAAGCTTTCTAGACCATTGCCACTGAAAAGCATAGATATTACATAAGGACTTTCATCTTTTCATTGATAGGCGACCCTAAACGCAGGACTTCGAAATCTCTACAAAGAAAAACCGGGAAAGTACTGAGAAAGGATGGACGACTCTGCAAAACCCTTCGAGTGCTAAAACCCAGAAATTCTAAAAACTGTCTCTACTCTACAGAGTATTGATCTTCCCCGAGCATTTTAGTATTTTGTAAATTCTTATTAGAAATTTTGAAACTTTTGCCTGAACTGCGTAAGTCCTTTCGAGACACGTTCCATAGAACCTTTTCAGAATTGTCTATAAAACCTAAATAAAAATAAATAAGCGGTTTTTTAGCATTGGAAAGCTTTCGAGAGTCACTTCAGCGCTTCTCGAACCTGCTCAGAGCTACACGTGCATGCGGTTCTATGAAATGCTTGAAAATCTCTGGAAAGAGCTTAAGTAGTTCTGGTAAAGTGCTAGAGACCTACGACTCTTGAGTTTTTATTTCCATTCATAGCGTTCCAACGACTTTCGTAAGCATTCAAGACTCTCTTTAAGCACTTTTTAGCACCTTTGGACTACTATGACTTTTACGCACCCTTTGTGGAGCAGCAGTAAGGTGATATAAAAGGTTTGGCTTGTAAAGCTCATGTTTGTTCTGGTTTTGAGGTGCTAAAAGAAGACAATAAAAAGCTATGGAAACATCCTAGAAAGCTTTAGGCCTTGGAATGCCTTAGATTAATCTTCTGGCCATGATTTCCTTAAGGGATTTTGGAAAAGATCTTTTACACTAAACCTTTCCTAGCGCCTTTCGAGGATATTTTAGGGCCTGGTAAAAAACCAGATCTAGAAAAGGCTCTAACAGATCTTCTAATACTTTAGAAAGGCATTTCTACAGCACTTGAAATACTTTGTAAAGAACTTGCGATTTCTGAAACGGTTTCTCAAAAGGTAGTAAATTTCAGTCTCGAGTTTTGTAACAAACAACTTGAAATTACTTGGTGATTTCAGATACCTAACCTTCTTGAATTAATCATGGCAGCAAACTCAGTAATCACAGTTTCGACCCTCTGAATACGTATAATATTAAAAATCTGTATTTGTTACCAATTTCGGTTTGGAGAAGCACCAAAACAAATTTAGGTTGATCTTCGGATAGAGTAAAGCCGAAGGACTCGACTCGAAGTTGCAATTTGAGAAACAAAATTGTTATTATTAATAAAAAGTTGTGAACAAATTTAGAGCTCGTAGAATGAGACGAAAATGTAAAAATTAATTGAAATCCATCATCAGAAAGAATGACACACTTGGCATGAACTTTTCAACCCTCATAATGGGAACATACGCAAATATGCTTTCGCACTGAAATAATTAGGTTCTTTTTAATTCAAACAGTTGAGGGATTAATATGTCAGGTATATCTATTTTAATTTAGTGCGCCCCTATAATGTAACAAAATTGACTTCAACGTATTTTAGATGGTATGATCGATTGCTCCGACAGCGAGTGTTGCACACATGCAAGTTGCACGGACCACATAATGTGTTTATCTAGTAACGATCCGGTAGAAGTGCTCTTACGGAAGCAACCTCCTTCAGTAACCGCCTCTTTTTATCAAAGGGTGAAATTTTTAATAGAGGAAAATTCGGTTCAATCCTACGCGCATATGGACGAATACACCGAGAGGTAAGTGCGATAGTTTTAGTTTTTTTGTCTATCGAGTGTAGAGCTTAAGTACAGCCCCACGAGGGCCGTAGACACGCAGACAGCGCGGCCTCACCGGATCAAGCTCTGCACGTTATTATAAGCGGAGACCGCTAGGGCCGGCCCGGCTGCTTTGCTCGGGCACCGCACACCCCTGCGGGCCCCGTCCCACCCGGCCTTTCCTCCCCCCGGGCGCTGTGCTCCCTCATGCGAGTAGTATTTGTTTTAAACAAGGGTGGAATTCCCTCAAGTAACGCGTGCGTGCAATTTTAACTACCACTATTATATCGATGGGCATCGGGAGTCGCAGCGCCAATGGGAAATCACTGTGTCTTGTCTAAAACCTCTGTGTGCGTCTACCCGTCTCAGAAGCCCGAGTCGCTCAGAAGTCGGACTCGTAAAAAGTCCATTATGTAGCGTAACAAACATCGCCGAGAATCTTTTTAGTAACTGTTTTATTTACTCATTTAGTAGACTGATAGGTATGTATCATGATGGTGGTGGACACAAGTTGAGCAGCCGATGTTGTTTCACTTCATACCTGCTTTATAGAAGACTCATGCTGCGCTCGTTCGGTCCGTCCGTCTTTATGTCTGTTTGTTGCTAGTAGATCTTGCTAACTTGTGTCTGTCATTGTCTGTAGCTAAAAGTACAATGTTTGTTAAGTTTTGTGTTTCGTCATATTGTGTTTTGTTATTATTATTGATTGTAGCTCAACTGAGCGAGCGCGTGGAAGATAGAGAGTTTGTCTATTTGATTGTCTGTCACTACAAATGTATCATTACCTGTGTGCCCCCGCAACCTTAAACTTTACCGTTAACGTTGCCAAGGCACCTCGCTTACGTAGTACATTCGCATACACACACCAATATTTTTAAACGTATCACAGTCAAATGACATAATGGTGTGTGCATGTAAAGTATTGCCGTGTGATTAGTAATTGTCCTGTCTTCTGTGTCCCCTATGTCGCTGCTGCAACCTTCACTTGTAGCGAGTTCTGGAATTCCTTTACACCGCGGTAAGTGGCAGCATCTCCCCATGTTCTTGTCTGTCTGTTCGTATGTCCGTGTGCTGCCTGTAGCCTGCGCTCCCTTATGTTCGTCCGTTCTTTATGTTCGTCCACCATTTACGTCCTTTTTCTTTTACCATGCTTTGTATTCATCCCGGGCCACTTACAAGTACCTACGTCAAATAAAAACTTGCGCTTTCATTCAAATAATATTAGTACTTGTAGCTGGCCATATTTGACTTTTGGTTGCGGCGAATGTATCTGCTATTTCTGTCGCTATTTCATGTGTCCGTACGTATCATCTCATGGTTCATAGTTTCCTAGCGTCTCATTACAACTCTTAATCACATTAAATGTTTTACAAGCTGCAGTGGCTACCAAACTTTCACAATCTAAATTAGTTAAATTAGTTTCGAGTTCAATTAGTTCCGCTAGAAACGAAAGCCTCGAACGGCCATGGCCAATAATTTGGAACTATTGCAGTTTTTAGGACATGTAAATTATCCATCTGTTTTAGTCTGAGACAAAAAGAAATACTACAAATTCGAGTTGCTACATCAAAGAAACAACATTGTACACGTTCTACAAAAAACAAGTAACAATGGATATAATGACGGCTCGGCCGATGTTCCTTCCTTTGTCTACGTGTCATTCTCAGCTGACCCTTAACCTTTGTGCAACCTGTCCTCAATCTACCTTTAACCTGGCCCTTTTGCATCGTTGCATTTTGACCGACACAATACACTTCACCATGGCGTCAGGTGTAATGAATTATTTCGGCTTTGATTACGTGCACGATAGTACTTGGGGTTTTTCTTAATGTAACGCGGGCCTTTTAGAAAACTTACTTTTAATACATCGGTGGCGCCTAGACGCATTCACAAAGACCTTAAGAATTATTTAATAGAAATAATTCATTGCAACACGTAATAGTTAGAAAGTAACAATACCTCGAACTTGATGTTTTTATAAACGATCTCGATGTTAAGATTTCTATCGAATTAAGTTCATGAAGAAGTAGAATACATAATGCTTGCACATTTTGTTGTTTGCTGCAAACATGTTGAAAAAATACAGGTCTCTGATCGAGATCGTGGTACTGCAACATGTTTGCAACAAAATTAGCTTAAATACATATTACTGCTTTGGATCAATGCAGAGAAGTGCATGTCGTTACTGAGCTATTGGATCACGTACTTAATATTTCCAGCTTCAATCTGATAGGTCAGATTTCACTAACAAATAAAAATCAATTAAGATTAAAGCATACTATATATAAAAGCTTATTACATATTTCATTCCGTTCACAATGAAAGTTTGAAATGCGGTTTTCTATGTCTATTTGTATATTTTCATTGTGTACGGATGTAATTGTTTAATGTTTTTGTGATATTTGTAAAAATTGGTAACGGAAATGTGTTAACAGTCGTGTTGCTGTCATGAGAGGACAAGTCATTACGCCTCAAGGGTTAGGAATTGTAGGCATACGAGTTTCTGTTGACAGAGAATCGCGATTTGGATTTACCCTAACTAGGCCAGGTGGATGGTAAGTCCTTTTTATTATGGTGACATTGTAGTAATTGAAATACTAAAAGGAGCATTTTGATCAGAGCGTGCTCTTTAGGTAATCCTTATTCCTTAGGTATTTAAACCGTTTCCTTTTCTAAGTATGTTCGTATAGCAAACAATAAACTGAAAGGGATGAAACGAATTTCTTTGAACAGCCGACTGATTTAGATCGCTACATATTTTAATGCCCCAATGATTACAACATGGAGACAGCGACAAATTCTTGCAAAATGAACCGTGAATTCCCTTACATGGTGTTATAGTGGTTTTATCGATGGTTTGGTACATCTAGAAAGGTATGCAGGGTAACTTTACCGCAGAATTCGATTCATCTAGAACTTTCTTAGAAGCAACACTGATTAACAAAAATTTCTTAATCCCCGAATTAGGTAATCAATCATTTTCTCTCACTGTACGTTTGCAGATTTTTTTGATTTTGTTTTGGTTTTCAGTCCAAGATACCTAGGCCGGAGACGGGCACCTATTGTGAATCTCATTCATCACGTTATAAGCAAAATAGATTTTAAGCATTCTTGCACTCGGTGTGCTTCTCGTTTAATGTACCTAATGTAACGATCAAAAGTAATATCCCTCGAATACCTTGATGTTATAAGTTTTCCATAAAATTCTGTTACCATTAATTAAGGGAAAAAACAATCTAATATACAGTGTGTAACAAATTCGATACATTAGCTAGCATTGGTATCTTGGGAACTGTGAAAGGTAGAGGTAGAGGTTTAATGGACGTAAAGTTGAATATTTCAATGCTGAATAATTTGTTAAAAAGCAATTTATAAAAATTCCTCTTGCTTGAGGAGAATTTTGAAAAAAACGAAAAAATGAAATTTTAGTTTTTAACCTTTGTTTACGGCTTGCTTACTGATTATTTGGAAAAACCAAGAGTAAGTCATTTTTCTATGATTTGTAAGAAAGTGATTTTACTTTTTCGATGCAACGTTTCTACTTTTAGATACCATACGGACTAGCATTTTTTTCATTTTCGAGTAGCTTTTGATTTCCCAAAACTAATGATTTATAACACTTGCTACTAACGCTTTTCAATAGAAGTTAACTTTTCGAAGTAACTGACCGCTCTTCAATTTTGAACGAAACTTTAAATTACTAAGCATAGATCATAAGTTTTGGAAGATCAAAGCTATGCAGAAATAAAAAAATCGAGGTTCGTATTTTAAAAAATACATCTGATGTTGGTATCTAAAATTTTGAAAAATAAGGTTTTTCCAAATAATAAATAATAAAACCGTAAAAGATAAAAAGAAAATTATGTTTTAGTTTTTTTTTTATGTTATAGGTATATCCGGAAGTAAGGGGAATTTCAAGCTTCCTGGCCTAGGTAGCTATTATAATTACCGTTTCTTGAACGGTGCAAAATTTCATCATATGTCAAAGTTTAAGATCATTTTAAACAACTTTTAGGGAGAAATTTGTTTCTGTCTGTATCTATGTAAGTACGTACGTTGGCAATTTACCGAGATTTTATTCAAATTTTGAATATATATTCGGCATACGGAAACGAAAAACCCTATCTTTCTGTGTATACAACCTACAAAAATTGTGCTAGGTTTTATCTTAAAAAAACGGAGAAAAAAATTCAAGATTAAAAAATTGAAGTATTCCTTTTGGGCAAACGGTTCTTGTGATTTCTTTGGAATTTTGCGAATGTACACTAGGCACAAAGGATGTACGACTGTCGTAATGTACACAAACAAGCTACGAAGCTGCTCTGTCAAGAATTTGACACCTGGTTTTATTTCCTTTTTAACGTATTATCATTAAAATACGCAACTTGACCAACATTTAAACAACCCTCTCGTGCTGATGCATCAAATTTGTAACACCTTGTATGCAACAAGTAAATCAGAAGATAACAGAATTTATAAAGAAACACACAAAAATCATGAATATAATTTATACAGAGGCAAAGATAATAAAACAAAACGAATTAATAATTTGTTTTCATTCCTAGAAGTAGTATCCATTCTACTGCCGAAAAATTTTCAAGGGCGAAGCGAAGAATAACTAATGACTCTGCATTAATGGATATGTATATTTATTGTAATTCCCTAACAATCGATTTCAACATTATTGCTTTAACGTTAGTTGACCCCTGATATTCTAAACAACGAAATCTTCAATTTAAATATATTTTCAATGTTTATCGCAAGGACCGTTCGGCCCTTACCAGCAATAAAGTTCAGGTTTGCGATTTACTGATCGCTGTTATATTATGGTACACATCCTTTATCTATTCAAAATCAATCAATCGAAGAAGCTTGGATTAGAATTGATCGTTACCCCAATGGTCGTGTCATTATTTGCTGCACCTACATCCCACCGAGTTCTGATTAAAGTGTCTAAACACTAAAAAGCTCATATAAAATCAATTCAAGCAGAATCATCCAAATGCAGAACTCGTACTCTTGGGCGATTATAACCTAAGCAATGTTCGTTGGTTTTGGAAGCCATTATCGCATAATGGCAGTTTACTAATTCGTTCGCGCATATAATAACAAAATCGAAACAATTTGATGTAACTTCTGCGGTACCTCAAGGAACTGATCCTGGTCCTTCACTTTTTTTAACATTCAGAAATGATGTATCGTCAGTTCTATCATCAGATCACTGTCTTCCTTTTTGCTGATGACCTAAAAATCTTGAGGCTAATTGAGAACGTTCATGATGCGCTGATGCTTCAACATGATCTGGTACAACTGGAAAAATAGGCATCTGCAAGTGATCTACAATTGAATATCAACAAGTGTACCAAATCACCATCACGATCTGTGTGGTGAACGACTAGGAATATTAAAATCAGTGAAATCATTCTGGACTCGAAAACTTCCAACGTCATTATGACTACATTATATCGAAAGCAAGCAAGATCTTGTACCTTATTCATCGTCACTGTAAAGACTTTTAACAACGTGATAGTGATAGCACTAAAATCATTGTATTTTGCCTTAGTTCGATCGCATCTTTACTAAATTGTTGTTTAATTTGATCACCATACTTGACAATACTTGATACTATTAATAACTTCAACACGAAGATCGAAATATTTGCTACATCGGTCACAGTCTTGAAAAAGAAACTTATCGACGCCTTGGCATTACTAGTACGTTATATTAATAGTAGTGTGAAGTGTTCACCTTAAAATACCTCTAGCGTAAATAAACAAATGATTAAAAGTAAATTTTGACATTTTGGCTTTGTCGGTGATATCTCACCTATTTCCAAAGATTTTTCAAAAATTTCAGATGCGGTTTTTTAGTCACAAAAAGATACAACTTTGCCCCCAGTTAAGCTACACTGTACCGTTACGGAGACCCCGAATTTGAACCACCCTATACACTCGAATGTCATTTATTGTGTGTGGTGGGAATTTATCACTTTAGTGAAGAGAAACAAATAAAAATCGCAGTCAAATATGTTCCCCTGGATAGTCATACGTTGAGTGAAAACCGTATGAGGATATCACAGTTCGTGCTGTAGTTATCCTTATCAAGGGTCGATCAAAATGCATTAATTTACTGTCGGCGCGGGCGTTCAAAGTATGTAGCCCTAAATTTGAGCCTTAATAAAAATAACAGTTCAACAGATTTGAATGGCATTTCTAGGAATACTCTAGAAAGCGTTGGAGATTTCAATAAACAAATTATGGAGTTGCCTTTTTTGGGATTATTAATTTAAAACTACCATTTCCAATAATTTCAATATTTTATTTTTCTGGTGCCAAATATATTCACAAAAAGAAATAGTTCAAGCCCATTTAATTGCACGTTGTAGAAAAGGGCGTTTTTCTGGGTTTCCACGTAAACTTCAGAGCCATCCTGTAACGAAATGAAAACCACCCGATCATATTATTAATTTTAAGTAAGTTGTTAACTGAACCTTTTCCAACATTTGTGGTGGTTCATTTCAAAATTGTATTAGAAGGAAGTAAGATAATTATGATTTCGGCACCATAAATGCACTATTTTGGAAATTTTGCCAAAGCCTCTTAAAAGACTTACGAGTAATTGACATTATACTAAAATTTATGTTCTGAGTTCTGGGTAAACCTAGAACAACATAGAAAGCGTTGGAGATTTCCATAAACAAACTATTGAGGTGAGTTTAATATAGGTAGTAAGTTATCTAAGATTGACTGATTAATGTACCTAACACTACTATTACCAATAATTTCCATAGTTTATTTTTCTGTCGCAAAATATATACACCAAGAAATAGATCAGGCTTAAATTACACATGCCATAAATTACATAGGTATCCAATTTAAAGAACTTACTTTCGAATGAAAGTTGAAAGGGTTACTCCAAATGATGAATCCAACTTTAAAAATTGGTACAAATTCAAAATGAACATTCTATCAACGAAAAAAATGAACCAATTCGGTATTGAACCACTAACCAGAAAAAGCATAAGCCGTTAGTTTAAGAACTTAAAGGTAGTGCATGTGTAATAACACTCAGTAACAGATAGCTTAGATGTTTGAAGTGCAGAAAAAAGAAATGGATTTTATCTTTTATGGCATTCTCGACGAAAGGACAGTTCTTTACCAACTAACGCCCTTCTTTCTCCTCCCTTATCAAAATAGGGAATAGGGGGAACTGGTTTTATCCTTCATGGTTCTCTAATAAGGTCTTGATGGAAAGAATTAATTTCTACTAACCATACTCCTACTAATTATTGGACATGGATTCGCACTTTCATTAGCATTCAACGGCGAATCTAACAACATGACTGAAGCTCGTTCAACACAATTACTGCAAGCGTACCAGGAGGAGATGCGAGGAGCTCACCTCCACTCTAATAAAACATAGAGGCTAATTGCGAATAAAAAACAAAACTTGTCTTACACAAGTTATTATGAATAAAATGCTCAACGGTCAATTTGACCCCAGACCGTCATCTAAGGTACTTAGTATACACAAAAAAATAATTTGAAAAATCAGTTTCTTTCTTTGCACAAATATAAATAAACATAATTTCTTAAAAGTCACAAAAACTAAAGAACGTGTGGCACAATTTCATAAAC